TGTTCAGAAAAGTTCAGACTGTTGCTATATCTTAAACCCAGGTCACGAACAGTGTTGAGAGGTTTGAGTGTATGTGTGTGTACAGTCAGATTTAAGTTAAGACAGCGACCAATGTGAATAAATCCACTTTTGTCAACATTAAGTGGCATATTCCACGAAATAGTCCATTCGTACAACTTGTTTATTTCCTCTTGGATTACCGCTGAAATATAGCTTTCTTTCGTGGGAGAAGAGAATGAATAAACTACTTTCAGGTCATCAGCAAAAAGGAAAGGCTTACCATACTGAAAGAGGGAACACACGTCATTGATAAAAAGCAGAAAGAGTTGTAGTGACTCACATTTATCACGAGAACACGACTGGTTTAATAAAAACAATTATTATTATAACCAACTGTACCAGTGTTTGTTATAATGTGTTTTTGTTTGACTGTGCTAATGACAGCTATTTTGTGCTTCCATTCTTATACTCACACTTTGATTGTAACTTCGCGCGAATTCGGTTACGTTCTGTAACCAAGCTTGTATCCTGCCACGATCTCGGTATCCTTTCGATACCACGAGATCGCCAGTAAATATATCTCGACTTGGTCCATTAACTGTCTTCTGATATTTGGCTTCTCGGGGGTTTTATGGATTTATTTGGTTACGTCCAACCTTCGCCTTCTGATTAACTTGGCACGTGTTTCTTTGTAGCGGTGTTCATAGTCAACCGCGACTCGACGCCACGCAATAGAGTAATGGACCAACCACACTTCCTTGTATAACCCCACTGGTTATATTCACAGGTTTAGAGTAGCAAGATCCAAAGCGAACGATTTGGCTACGTTCTTCTAAAAAAGATTTGAGCCAAGATAAAAGGGGATTCTGTATGCCAAATGAAGAGAGTTTTAGAAGAAGAAGTTTGTGTGAGACACTGTCGAAAGCCTTACTAAAATCGAAGTAAAGAATTATCACTGACTGACCAACATCTCTTCTCTGGGTAATTTGATCAAAAAACTCCAGGTGCGATGTGAAACATGAGCGTTTGGTCATAAACCCGTGTTGGGATGGGCTGATCAGACTAGCCGAAAGTAAAAATGATAATATCTGTTTGTGGATGATTTTTTCCATGGTTCTTGAGAGCACGGATGTCAAATTAATTGGCCTATAGTTAATAATATCACTGCGTGGTCCTGTTTTGAATCTTGGGGTGATAAGGGATGTTTTTCATACATATGGATAGGTCCCATATTCCATGGATAGATTGAAAAGTTTCAAACAAAATAGTGGAAATTCTCTACTTCCATATTTCACAAATGATGAAGGTATCCCGTCAGGTCCACCATCATAAAACTTTTTCAGGGCAGCTATGGCCTGCTTGATGTTGGAAGGTGTAAAATCAATTTTTGACAGATGTCTGGATGTCAGCATTGGAAATGTAATGATGGAGTTTTCAGTTCCAGTTTTGTAGCACTGCGAGAAGTGCTTGCTGAATTGTTCGCATATAGTATTCGGGTCGTTAACAATGCTTCCGTTAACTATGGAGAATTTAGTCTTGCCAAGGGAATTTGACTTTACATGGGATTGAAAAAGCCGAAGTCTTGATAATTCTGGCCTTTACTACGTAGAGCTTTATTTTCTATATTCATAAAATACTTACGTTTAGATGAAGTATTTCTGTCGATTAATTTAAGTATACTCTGAAATGCATACACATCATTCTGCTCGTAGTAGCTTACCACATCACTATGCATGGAGCAAGACCTGCCTATCTTCCAGACGTTGTTCTAGAATCCAGTGTGTGTTCTGAGCATCGCACCTAATCAAGACTTTACCAGATTATTTTGCAACCTTAGAAAAGTTATATCTTCCAAATGCTTTCACAGTCCCAGCTGCTGTTCGGTTAGGGGTTCTGCATAATCGATTGCAAATCCATAGTCGTATAAGCCCTAGTGATCTGTAAAGATCCCTTCTCACCCAAAGAAAATATCTCTAAATTTACTTCTAGACATTTTCAGGTGGTAGTATCATTCACAGTTGTTATGTTATTCAACAATATCAACTCCCTCTTCAAAATCTAACATCTTAGGCCACTTTTCTAATTCAAGTCTTTTTCTTATTTCTTCTTCCTTAGTAACGCTATACCTAACTTGAATTTAGAAGAACTAAGTCGATCAGAACCCACACCAGTAACACTCAGTTCATCATTAACAGCATACATATCACAAACAGCTTTAAGAATCTCACCTTTTATTTCCGTATTTTTCTTCGATTTTTAATCCTAGTTTCCAATGTGTATCTTCGTTCCATAGAGTCAAGTAAAATTTAAATTATTCCGAAAGGAATCCAAGTAAATCGGTGAAAAGAATTAATGGTTGGTTCAGAGTGAACGTTCAAAGAAATAAAAAGTATAAGGTATCCAAAAATAAACCGGAATCGAAGAACTTCGCGTTACGTACAAGTTTCTGCTCTCGTGTCATTGAAGCACGGTATGTTGATCTACTTGCAATTTGCAAGCTCAAAATAACAGTAGGACATCCTGTAACAAGTACTCGAACTCATGATCACCATTTTTGACTCCATATTAACTCATTAAAATGAGACATTTTGAACCTTAGTGACATACCAACTCTAGGTAACAGTAACCATGATGTTTTAGCTTTTTAATTCTGTACTGGCCCCAGTGATCGATACCGTTAAATTCAAGAAAATACTCTCCATGGTTCGACGAAGACGTTCGTGCTCATCTATCGATTGATTAAAGTTATTAAGAACAAAGGAGAAACTAGAAAAAGGCATTTCTTAACCCTGAGAATGTTCATAGTCGGACATAAATCGAAGCTTGTTAACCATTCTACGCGAAGTTTACGAATATGAAATTTTGATGAATTCTATAATTTTCCGTAATCGGAACGAAAACAGTCGATGGATAGCACTTGGAGAGAATAAAGTTTCAACGACCTGTAATTTTACTGATTTAAATCTGTGGAAATATGTGAATTCAGCAAGCTTTGTGAACAGATACAAAGTTCAGGAACAGTGATGTTAAGTCATGGGGAATAGTTCGCATTTCATAGGAAAACCTTAAGCAATATGGCTAATTATTAACGTTGAAGCACGTCCCTATCTCATATGTCAGAGACGAAAGAAAAGAAGAAGTGCTTTTTGAACTCCTAACAGTGATGGTTTCTAGGGTGGTTAAGAAAACAGATGAGGTTGAAGGAAGCAATGTTACTTTCGTCAAAATTGTTTTTGGAGTGAACAGAGCCTCTTATGTTACTACAAACTATTGTCTTTATAGACACTTTGAAGTGATATTTGATGCATCGCTCAGTTTTGGCCTTGAACACAGATTTTTTAATCATTTCGACTCCAATGTTTTAGTCTCGATCTGTTCCGCCGGTTAAGTTGTGAACACTGGGCTTCAAAAAACCTTATTATTGAAGTTTTACTGGGACTTTTTCCACAATCGTAGAAATAACAATATTTTCGGAGATCTTCGACCTTAATCAATAAGTTCTTATTCGGTTGTACCTTTCACTTGAATAATATGTCGTTTGATTGGGGAGCGTCAATCTGTCAAGTGTTAATACCTCAATCATCGCAGGGTCTTAAACTTGAGATATAACACTTCACTTTTATCTTTTGAAAATACAATAGGATAAAGAACGGATTTTTACGGCAGTGAATTTGGAATACGAGTGATTTTTCAAACGAGAGCTCTTTTAGCTTGAGATGACCTCTGTTACTAGCTAACAACTAAAGCTTATCGGCTACCCAATATGCAACTGTAGCATATACACTTATTTTGTTCCACACGCCTGCATATCAAGTGAAATTGCAAACTTTTTAACAATTATCATGTCAAGAGTAAATCATTATGTGGTAGGTTTAGTTGACTCGTAAGCGAATCCCTTGGTAGTTTCAGAGACTCTTGCATCCATTCGCTATAACACTTACAAGCAAAGGACTTGCGAAACTGCTTCTCTAACCATCAGGAAGTCGCTTGTTGAAACATTTGTAGATAGGGTCATCGTCCTAAATTTTTCGGAGGCCTTAGTCGTGTGTAATCTGTGTTCACTAATCCTTTTATAAACATCGTTTTACGCCGTTCTGTTCATTAAAAAAGATGCACATCACTAGTGCTCCCACCGATTCCTACAACATGAGATAAGGACGGTTCTTCGGATTCCATAGGCTCCATAGCTTCGTTTAAAACTCAGAACCAATTTTTCGAAGATCATATCTGAACATAGTACCAGTCACATGATTCAAACACTGAATGAGGGCCCTGCATCGGACAACAATGGTCATACATTCATGCAGATTTCCGTTTCCAGGTACATACGTAACAACTAAATGAAAACAGAACGACTGATTTTAAACTCAGTACTCTACTGATGGGAGAGGAAGAGACATAAATGATGACCGTATCACGTATTCTTCACTAGCTATGACCAGGGACTCAATTAAAATGCAATTTGTATTGTAACTAGGACTACTGACGTTCCAACACTATAATAACACAGTACAGCTGTTATTTTGTGTTTATTCCCTCATCCTTGTGGTTGTGCTGCCTGTACCTTGAGTTTAATAGAAATCCGATGATCAAATCAAAGAAATCCGAACCTCAGTCTTCAAGTCCACCGAAGGCTCTTCACCTGCACTATCCTGTTGGTTCTGTAGTCTGCCAAATAAGATTCATGCTAGTTACAATCTCCAAACTCGCAGCATAACTGGATCATCTTTAAATAAAGGGAGTATGAATCTTTTAGAGTAGGTACGGGTGCGTGGAATAAATTGAGTATCAGATTAGAGAACAAATCCTAAATACACTACTTCCATCATCCGGGATCATAATCTCTATAGTTCAGAAAAGTATGTGATAATGTATTAACGAAATGCGAGATGCTGATTATTCAAAGTTATTAAAATAAAACATCTTACAATCCAACGTTGCACTTCACGAAGGAATTTGTCCAAGTGTCTAGGCTATTTATATCGTACGATCGCGAAGATCCTCAATCATGCCGTAACATCAAAACATGAAGGTGAAAACCAGTTGACTTATACTAGTTCCTTATACAGATAGTGGATATATTGAGTATTGAACATTGGAAAACTAAGAATTGAATAGTTGGTCGGCATAGTTACAGATGGCAAATACATACAACGTGTTTGAAATTGTACTCCACAACTACTAGATTGTCTTAACCTCACTCCAGTCTTGCTGCTAATTGTTGTAGGTTGCTGTTATCATTTAACGTAAGTAGATCATATGTGCCTACCGCATCTTCACAAAAAATTTTCTCGTCTTTCCAGATTTCTGTACACACGTTACTCTTCACGCTCCATCAGCGCAAAACTCACCCTCAGGGTAGGAGCAAACCGCCACGTGTTTGTATCTCATAAAAAGATATACTTCTGGAGCTATTTTAAAGATCCGACTGAGTTGAACATTATACATTCAATGGCTGAATCGTTAGCTCAAGCTGGATTATATATTGACGATTTTTATAAACTTCGAATAGTTGATCCTAGAGTCGCACAAGAAACAAACGAACTTAAAGAAGAATGTGAAAAATATCTTTCAAGTATGAACTGTACTAATGCTGTCGTACTCTAATCATTATAATTTAACTTCTTTCTTCATTAATTAGTATGTGAAACCGAGATGCACTATAGGGGACGTTTCTTCACTCATATTGCTCATGATGGTGATAGGAACACAATCTCCCAAATTTGCGGAAATCTTGGGGTATTTTGGGAAAACTCCATAGTCAAATAGGCTTCACTAAGGTTAAAGAGAAATATTGGAAAATTTCCCCAGGTTCGGGGAAATTTCGAGGTTTTGATGCCATTTCCCAAAAGTTTACTATAGCGGCCTCCCGAAATTGGCAGCTTTTAAAGTCTTTTTGTCCTTTTATCGCTACTAAACAATATTATGGCTTCAAATGCAGGAGGAATCGGCTCAGAATACTATGATCTGGTACAATAGTAACGTAAAAAGCAACGGTTTCTGTTTATTATTTAAGACACTTAAAGTCATTCACCTGATCTTAAAACTTGTACCCTGGTCTTTCCTTCATATTCTTGAATGCATATATCTTTATATTGGTAGATGCGTCGTTAGCATTGGCTTCAAAAAGATCTGGGGTAATCCATACAACGGCTTCAATACAAAATCGCTCAAGTGAACAGATAAAACTGATATTTCAACAGAGAAATATGCGTTACAGCATACTAATTAGTGTTGATGATGGGCCTTTCATTTTTAAGTACTTTAGTTAAATAAAACAAACGATGCCGCTTTCAAGCGTAACAAACCATCGGGATCATTTATTTTTCAGCATTATTTTCTGTCTAGTAGTACCAAAATGTATGGTATAGGTTACTACTCGGAACGCAGTTATTATTTCAAAAAGTTACCCCCATTTTTATAGTCTTGTGAGAAAATTTCGAGATATCAGGCGGGTTAATTACTGATAATAACGAGTGACATCTATAGGCAAGTTGGGATCTCCAATGTTATACCGCTACTCTTATACCAATAAAACGTTCTTGAAATATCACCAAGTTCCCTAAATGCTAATATCCATTTTCCTCAGGATGGTTCGGTCAATTAGATATGTGAGATTACGGTTTTAAGAAAATGGTAAAAGTATTCCTAAAAATTAAACTGTTATGATATTTTATCAAGCGTTTGATGAACGTGTGCCAGTGACAGATCCAAACTTTTAAACGAAATACCCAACAATGAGTAAAGTACGTTCTCTTTGATTGCATAGATGTACTTATTTTGTTGTTGAAAATCTTTAAATTTAAAGATCAAATTTGGTTCAAAGTTTTGAATCTGTATTACAAATAAGTATAAACAAATAATTTGTGTTTTTGGAATTTTTATAGACGTTTTATAAAGTTTCGTTAATTAGTTCAGGGTTATACCAACTTCATTTGAGTTGTTCCGTATTGACAATGATATGAAGATCTTTCATCGTGTGTTGCCAAATCACAGAAAAACGTTTTTTATCTCAAAAATATAGAAAGACAAGGTCTTGAATTCAAAATCTTAATTGTGCCCCATATATCAGCCTCTATTTGATCTTGGTTTAACCAAATATTGTTTCAAATAAAGTTTTTATGTTTGTAGAAAAATGCATTTGATATTCTTTTAAGGTCTATACTTAGTAGTAAGCTACATTTGTCAAGAAAAACACTCTATGAAATGTGCTTGTGTCTGATAAATTTTTATTTCATTCAGAATATTTTTGAAATTGCCTTTTCAGTCACTAAATTTTTAGAAACATGTATTATGTTTCAGGACTTTATATATATATATATATATATATATATATATATATATATATATATATATATATATATTGGCACGGTTTTAAGATTGTGTCGAAACCAGAACAAGTTAAAATGTAAAGGTTACGATGACAGCACTTATTTTATAGTATTGCAATCGACTTTATGAAGATATAGATAACGGTCGATTTGTCAGTGTTCAATCTGTACAATTCCTTGCCAAAAGACAAATCGACTTCATGTATACACTTAATACCATATACGATATCACTATATTCACTGGAGTAAACTTATTCTAAAAGCAGCTTCAAAGTCAGTCAAAATATATGTTGATTATTCATTGTTTGTAAGCCCTATGATAACTTGAAATTAGAAAGTACTTTAACGATCTAGTATTTAACACCAGTATGTTTGTTTTGAGATAAGGGTTATTTAGTTTGTAATCAAGTTCTCTTAACAGACTAATATCATCCAAAGAGCATTTTGGAAACTTAAGAATTATAAACATTTGTTTCTTTTCTGAAGCTCCTCGACAAAGCTTACTTCATTAATGTTAAAACCCAAAAAGCATCCACAATCCCCTAATGCGTTATTGACTGTGTGGCTACTAGTGAGGAGATATGAGATGGAATTTTGGATTTATGATTGCGATTCATGATCAATATACTGACAGTAAGACTGATATCATTGACAATAATGCACGATTATTGGGCATTAATGTGAATCAGCTAAGGCTGAAAAGGTGAAACACTCACCTCTCACTCATTAACCTAATTGTGTAATACCAGCCACAAAACATATATGTCCTGAGTTACATCCGCTGTATGATTCAAGCGCAACGCTAATAAGTTTAAACCTGGAACAAAGCGTATTTCCGGTTTTTTATAGTCCGTAATATTTTCAAAGGTAACATTCGTCTTTGATGAAAACCAACTCCAAAACTCCTTTTATATTTCCACTTGTTCCTTACTTCAATCTCAAGTTCAGTACTGATAGATGATAATATAGAATAAAATTATTTTAGTGTACTCAATGCTGAACTCTTACTTCATGTTGAATTTCTTTCTTTCCTAGAAATGACCGACTTTAAGGTGATTATTGGAGAACTTTTCAACTTGATCAGCTCTGTAGCTGAAAAAGTTGAATCACAAAAGCTAAAAGTTTGTTTTGATAAAAAATAACTATTCACATACACATTTATTTAGGCGATTGGTTCAAGAAACCTACTTACCTCTATGGAAAAGCAAAGAGACTTACAACAAAAACACTTGGAATCCCAGATATTGGCCAAAAAGAAAGATATAGATAGGTGAGTTATTCTTATTATACTTAGATTGTGGATACCAATGGAATCTCGGACGACCGTTTTGTTCTATTTGTAACCAGTTTGAATTTATTTCTAAGGGTTTGTACAGTCGCTTTAACTGATCAGTCAAAAATGACGTATGTGGATGTTAAGCGGATCTTCGTGATGATGACTTTTAATTCGTACATTTTCTACGTACTTAAATCTTACACCTGGCTCTAAAATTTTATACTTGACTAATGATTATACAATGTCTTATACATCCTTAACAAAAAAGTATTCAGTAATGTTTAAATGTTTTTACCTTAAGAAAAACTGCGGTTAGATATTATTGACAGATAAATAAAATAGTGTAAAACTGTTACAGGAAAAATTCATGCCAAAATATGTGGGAAAATAATGAAACGAGCAAACAAAAATCATAAAAAGGTTAATAACAAGAACTAGAGAAAGGCAATTAACGAATATCTCTGGATTGCTATGATGAAATTTGAATAATTTAAATAACCTTTTACAATCCATAAATGGTACCATAATGGGCTTTGGAGAAAGGTAGTGACAGACATTTCTTGTTGATTTTATAAAACAAATAATATATGGTTAACAGTGAAATCCAGGACCCATGTTTCGTCTTACTCAAGAGTCGTCAGCTTCATGCACTTGCATCCCAGAGTTGATGTTCACTCCGGTTTTTAAACTCAGTACGCTTTACTTCAAACACCAGTCATGTTATCCACTTAGCCTTAAGTCCAGATACCTAGTCACTCATGCAACAGATATGAATTTTAACTAAATTTTAGTGGTTTGAATTTTCCCGTTGGTGGTATTTTTACTGAGTTTTGATCAGTTTTACGACAAAACCCGCGTCTTGAATCCCAATGTTAGCCACATCATATTCATTATATGAAAAATTATGATATCATGGCTAGATATGTGCGATCTGCGCAGAATGCACATATATCGATTAAGACTGATCAGAATTAAGTCAATATTAAAAACGGGATAATCTGGACTATTATATCTCTTGGTCGGTTCAACCACCCTACTACGTGCAATTCTAATTCGTATAATTTGTAAAAAATAGTGTAATTTTAGATTTTCATTCATTGATTACCGGTTGAAAGCTAATAACATTTTTGTCCAGTCCTTACTGTTAGTTGGATTTTATTCATCAAGTTGGAATATAGTCATTACTGTGAATTAATCGATATCGCGTGCTTTTTTTTTCTGATATTAGTTAGTTTGAGGTGGTAAATAGGAAGCAATTGAGATTGGGTGATGCATTCCACGGTGGGCATCAGTTCTGTCAAGATTGCAAATACATTGTGATGAAAAGAGCAAAACGATATGAAACACTGTTCTAAGGATCTCTACTATATGACACCAAAGTTATCTTTGATTTTGTAACTGTTTGTTTCCAAAGTAATATTTGTGCTATTGTATGTAGTCTTGATTAGAACAATGTAAAGGAAAATATTGTCATAAGTGTTATGTCTGAGACATTAATCGACCCCACTTGTTTGATCCACCAATCATAACTACAATCGTAATCTATTCCTTCTATGATCTAGAGTTCTTAGCCTTGACTAGTGATACAATCCAACCGACGCGATAAAACTTGAACTAATGTAAACTTAAGTCCTACTGATCCTCCGATACCCAAGCCTTCTTCTGTTCCCAATTATAAATCATAAAGTAAGAGACAGCGCAAACCTACTATTATATTACAAGCGTACTTAGGTTTATGAACAAACATACCGCACTGCATGATATCATAAAGTAGAAAACTATGATGATACACAGACATGCTGATAGTGGAAGTGAAACCAGAAATGTTGTGAATAACTGACTAGCCATAAATTAGAAATAATAATACCTGTAGTAATAGTAGTTAGTTTTCCAAATGGAATCTTGCAATAAACGGAAAATAGAAACAATATTCCAGTTATTGTGTAATTATATGGTAAGAATATATACAGTAAGACTCCATAAAACAGTTTCGAAAGTTACCATTTATTCACTCTTTGTTTTGTCACATCAATAAGAACGACATTTCATTAAAACTAAACGAATGCTTACTATATTTAGATCTATGATGGCAAGGATTGTACCGATCATTGGATAATAACAAGTTTTTTATTTACTATATCAACTCAATTAAATTGTTAATGGAACTTATTGACTTTGTGATAGATTTGATAGCCCCCCCCCATTTACTTTGACTTGCACAACTCAGTTATATCACTAATCCACACACTTTTGGTTTATTTCAAAGTTCAATGCACTAATTTGCACTTCATATATGAAATAAATAACTTACTCTAGCAATAATAAGTATAGATTTCTAGAAAACCATTGAACGAGTCACAATCATTCGTTTAATATTTCAAGGAATATTGAAAAAATGAAATGATAAAAATAACTATGAAGATTTATCTATTACAACTTGACATTTAGTGTCCCATTTGAATATAAAACAGCGTGTATTTATTCATATGATTGTATATTGTCAATTTATCATACGTTAAATACAAGCAAATTAAACATATTAGAGAAAAATAATAAATTGAAATGGAATAGAATAAATGATTGAAACTAGACTATACGATTGTAAATTGTTTTTACTAGACTATTTTTACTTCACATTTTAGATTAGTTATTCTATTGCCCACATCACAGGCTAACGTTAGTTTAGTAACCATTGAGAACCAACAAACACTGGATAAATTTTTCGTCCTAGTATGCGACTTCCCAGAAGTGCATATTACCGATCTAACTGGAAATCGAACCCAGGACATTTAAGCCTCGCAGAGAGCGCTTGGTATTTAAATCTCTCAGTCGATATCCGATCAATCCGGGATATAGTATCGCAATTTTTTTCGTCGTTGGTAGATAACTATCTTACAATCGACAATTCTGGACTCTACTGGTCACAATCTCCCAAAACGACTTTAGAAATTACCTCTCAAAAGTAGTAACTGATGCATGTATTATTATTATTAGCATGAGAAGTCTGTGAAGATTTGTGAAATTTAAGATTTACATTAAGATCAAGTCCTTAGATAACCATTGGAAACCAAGATAAACTGGATAATCGTTTCATCTTAATATGAAATCAGTTCGTGAAGTAGACTATACAATTCAACAACCTCAATAAACCTCCTATACTATGACCATTAATTATGTATTATTCAACCTTCTGCTATGTTATGAGCCAATTTTGCTTTTATTTTACTTTTCCAATTCATTGAATGCTATAAATTTACCTTTCTTTTTCTTTTATTTTCGGGGAAAAAAAATACGGAAACCTATTGCTAGATTGAATATTCAATTACAATCATTACAAAAAGAAGAAGCTGAACAAACAGAGTTTATTGAACGTTTTCTTATGGGTCGTTAAATTGTTCTTGAAATTGTACTGGTATTGTATAGTATCTTTTAAAAAAATAATGATAAATTTTATGTACAAATATATGAATTATATCAAATTATAATTGATTTTCATTGATAATTAGAAGTAATTTCAATAGTTGAGATCATAAGTCAATTGAAGCTAGACGATTATTGAAAACCTGGAAATACTGGATGGCCGTTTCGTCCTATTGTGGAACTTCTCATCAGTGCGCATCTATGATCCCGCCTCGCGAAATTTGAATGAATGTGCTGACTAAGAATTTCCGAAGTAGTCTTATTTAAATCAGGTACAAAAAGATGAGTACAAATGAATGTATTATATTTGGAATTCATAATAAGCATTCAATCAAGTACAAAGGAATATTCATTTAGTACAAATACTATACCTACTGATAGTGAATAGAAGTAACTTGGTTAAAGTAATCTTCACCGAAATTTCACGAAATTTCAGTTATTGACAAAACGGCTGTTTAGTGCTTTCAGGTTTCCAATAATAGTCTAACTAAAATCAGTTCATGAGTTAGACTATAAAAATTGAAGAATCTCCACAAATCTCCCTTTATTAATATTGATCATATTATGAAAGTTAGCAATAATATTTATCATATATGGTATTCAATCTGAAGTTAATTTTTATCACATACTGACATCAGTTGGAGAATTGTTTGGATTCATGAGGGTTGTTTTATTTTAATTTCGAAACTGTTTAGTAATATTAAAAACTAGTTTAAACAATGTAGTATTCCTAGAAGTAATGAGAAATGATGTTAGAAAAACAAAATTTGCAGAATAAAATGATTTTGTTATATTTCAGTGCCACTTATCACTGACTGAAGTTTGGTTCGAAACGACACAAAAAAACAAGAAGAGCAAATAACATATTTAGTATAATAGTGTTTATATGGTGAAGATGAAGTCATATAGAGAAGGAGGAGAATTTATAAATGACTAAGGATGAAGCGGGCGTCCTGGATTCCACTGTAAGCAACTTTCTATCTGTTCCATAAAACCTGTGTTATGACGGTAAGATCGAAGCACTCCACACAAGATGCACATATGGGAACTAAGACTTATCAGAATTCCATCAAAGTACCAATAAAGAGATAATTTAAACCACTGCATACTAAATTAAGACTCATACCCGTTACACAATTGGGTTTCTATCCAGACTCTGTGGCTAAATAGATAAGACGTTGAGTGCTTGAAGGATTGATTAGAACCTTGAACTGAACACCAACTCTGAGACTAGGGTACACTCAATTGACGTGTTCTGAATTACACTGTTAGCCATATTCTATCTAATTATATAGAGACATTGAATAAAATACATCTCTGATACATGAATGATAATCAAACTGATTAGTTGACTTAAATTCAACCTAACGTCAGCAGTGAATGTCAATGAAACTTGTTTTATTTCAAATTATAAAATACAATAAATAGATTACGTAAATTTACCAAAGAATCAGAATGTATGGAATAATAACTTAGAGGACAAATTTGAAAGACAACTATTTAGTTTACAAAGAAGAGGAAAGTGAAAAAGAAGATAATGAATGAAACTTATGATTTGTAAAAATCAAAAGAGTTTCTTGAACCATAAAAAAATAAAGAACTGAACATAATCCTTTTATACACAGAGATCTGGTTTGAACTGGTGAGTTGATATAGTCTAACTGTGTACAAAATGTTAATTCAAACTTTCTTTAAATCAGTTCTTTTGATTTTGTCGATGATCTTGAACAATCATTCTTGTGATAGCAAGTGATCAGGATGAACCATATGTTCAGGGACTGAACTTTTCATTAACTTATATTCCCCTTTAGATAGCCATGCAGAGAAGTGCTTGGATATTTGTTTAGCAAGTATACGCTTTGTATGAGAAATGTCACTTGATCTACAATAGCGGGTAACAGTTCCTCAAATGAGGTTCTTACCGGATAAAACAATTCAGAGTTCAGTTTTATAAAAGGTCATTTACAGTGGTCTAGACGGTCAGTTCTCCAGTATTTCTGCTATTGTATTAATGGTTATCAGAGTCAGTCTACATCTTATAATATTAATTTCGACGGCAAGATTACTTAAAACAAAAAAATTTAACATGTACTCTAAAATGTATCAAGCGCACGTGCGTTGATGTACAGGCATCATACCATTATATAAAAATCACAATTCATACATAAGCGAATAGGTCAAATCGCGAGTAGATGATTAACAACAAATTAAGAATAATAAGATAATTGCTAATGAATTAACGGAAGCTTACAATAAATGGAATAAAGAAACATAGTATTCCAGTTATTTATTCATAATGCAATAAGAATATATAAAATGATAGTCCATAAAATAGTTTCGGAAGCTACCAGTTCTTTAATGTTCTTCCAGTCACAACGGAATGAGGATCAGGAAAACGTATGTTATGTTGATTAATCTGGCATCAAATCTAATGAACGGAAGACCATTTTGTCGAAAATATTTGGTTCTATTATCCTTACTACTTATGAGTAGCATAGAAAATATAGAAGTTGACAAGATTCAATGTCACTTAGTGTTTCATTAACAATAAGAGTGATTATCAGCAAAGATGAATAGTGGCTAGCAGTGGAACCCAGGACTTGCGTCTCGTCCTGTTTGGGACTCGTTAGCTGGATTTACTTGCAACCCAGAGTTAATATTCATTCTGGGACTCGAACCCACTACCATTCGTTCCAAATGCCACCGAGAAATCCACTCTTATTTTAAAGTAATCTACGGAGTCAAAGGAACTGGATCGAAGGGGGGGTCGAATCAATATTTTATACACTGCCGAGGCATTGGCAATCCATCAACTCAAGCCTGAACTTTGCGTGCAGTTATTATTATTACTTTACACAAGTTTTCTTGATTATTATTCAGTTTATTATTATGACCTTTGTGTTTGTAGCTTTTCTTCATATCTGTCAACTGAACTATTATCTGACCCATAAAAGATTTTCTTCCTTACCCCTTGACTAGTACGTAACCTCGTTTGTTATTTATCCTCGAATTCATTTTGGTGATGCAATTTTTTTCTATCCTCCTATAGACATACATTTTCCATATAACTATATATACGAATGTACAGCTTAAGTAAATGATTTCGTCGGAATGAAAATTTTCTTCGCTAAATTCTCTTTTTCTTATTCAGTTGATTGTCATAGTACATGAAATTCGGGAATCAGCTTCAAACAGGCCTCATAACGACCTTTATTTTATACACCGATGATGCATCCATATTTGGGCCAATCTATTGATGTGGTTGTTTAAGACGTATGTACTATGGTAATTATGATAAATAATGTTCAAACAAAGGATCTTTTCAGTGAAGTTTAAAGTTTCTGTTGAAATGATGGTGAACTTTCATTTCACCAGGTGCAAATGACAGACCAGCCGGCTTCAGATTTACGATCTACAATGGTACTTCTACTTAAAATAATCCTGTGTAAAATATATCTTAATCCACCTGAGAGATCCTAGTTTGTAATACTCAAAGGAACGATCTGTAGAGACTGACTTCAACAATCCAGCTGTTAATAGAAGAAATAAAAAGATGTTAAACGAATGGAGTGTGTGAAAGTAAATTTTGTTCCCCTTAATATTTACAAGTAAAGCAGTGTAAATGGTATGTGACTCCTTGGAGAGTCCCAACTAGTACTCACCTAATGAATATTGCCTGATCCAACTATTTTAAAGCTGTATCCTATAAGCAAGTTTATTACATAACAATGTAGTACATATTTCTTTCTCAATAAATAATAGGTGAATTACAACTGGAACTCGTTTATTTAACAATTCTCAAAACTCTTCATATCAGAGGGGAAATACGTTAGTTAACTGGAGGTGGAAAATCATAAAATACCTAGCCTTAGGTTTTATATCAGTTGGCACTTGTTAGCAAAGTTTACCTGAATTCCTAAAGAAACTGTGCGGTACAATATTCAAGATTTAGGCTTAGCAATAACATTTCATCCAGTCGCTGATGACACTTTATAATGTTTATTTTGTATTAATATTATATATATATATATATATATATATATATATATATATACCCATTCATCTGGTAAGTGATCTTGCCTTGGGTTACTAATCATTCCCGGACTTGCCTCAATAATGCACTCTCGCGAGCAGCCCTTACTCAGTCACACTTTATATAATCCATTAATTGGCATTCTATTCATTTATTTTGACAATCAAATCCTTCGTCTTTTCAGTTATTGGTAGAAAAATTTCCTCCCATGACACTGTGCCATTTGAACCGGTATCACTTAGCTTGATAACTTAAGATTCTATCAATGAGCGATTTAGGCGGCGACTAACTTCCTGTACGACAGATAATTACAGGTGATTAATGATTGAGTAGTGACCAATGTCGTGTTTGTTTAGTCCTTTAGCATCGATCCAATTTTATTGATCCAACTTCAATGTGGCCACTAGTAGGGAAAATACATTAGTCTCTTAATAAATTCATCTACTAGAAAGATAATATTTAAATGTAATTGATAAGTACTAAGTTTTAAAAAGATAGTCGAGAGTATTTTTAATGTTAAAGACAAGGTAATTCAAGCGATTATTAAAAATTATCTTACAAACTATCTTAATATTTATCATCATTTGGGGTTATGAAGATTCCTGAGTTTTATTAAGATCACGAATTGATCTACTTTAGGCAATCATTGACAACCTAGGAGCATCGGACAGATATTTAGTCCGAGTAAGGGACTCCTTAGTAAAGGGGCATCTATGACCTCGCCTCTAGGGAGCATCGTTTAGCTTCATAGCTTCTTACACACATTCCTCACTGCATTGGTTTGTAAAATATATTTCTAAAATAAATGTTTTCATCATTCTTACGAACTATTGTTGTACTATATTGTCTTTAACAAATTAACTCTAGTGTCATGATGTCTTGAACAACTTGTTCTAATACGTATGTTAGAGAATCTATTGAACTCTATAGTGAAATCAAGTGAACTTTTTGATCATTTATGACTTTTTCATTGACTGGACGATAGTATCTCTTACTGATACAATAATAAATACAGTACTGTGCAATA